GAGAGAGAGAGAGAGAGAGAGAGAGAGAGAGAGAGAGAGAGAGAGAGAGAGAGAGAGAGAGAGAGAGAGATGTGAAGAGCAGGAAGGACAAGTCTTGAAGGTTTCTGAGGCCCCGACTTAAGAGAACTTTTAATACGTCCTTGGCTTGTGGTCATTGGAATAGCAATGCTTCCTGCGATTGAAGCTGCACAAAGAGCTCTGGGTGAAGAAGGCTTTTGCGATCAGCTTCTGAGACGTGACAGAGAAATGTTCTGGAAAGTAATCACCGCGGAGTGACTTGTTATTTGGCATTGCAGGGATTGTGAAGAAAAGAGGTACGAGCTGTTGATTGAATTTATAACTTGTGAAGATCTCATGATGTTTATTGTGTTTGCTGGCTGTCACGACCTTTTTTTGTTTTTTTCCTGTCTTCGGCGTCCTTGCAGGGTGATCTTGAGGAGGTTGCAGAGCTGTTCTTGGATGCCAGGGCATCAGCACGACTGCTCGCAGATCAATCTGATCGATATGTGTCGCAATAGTGCTTGCGTGCTTTAGTGCACATGTACTCTCATGTTTTTTCACGTGACTCCGCGTAGGGAGAAGAATTAGGAGTTCAAGCCTCAGAATAGCGTCTCCAGTGTAAGATCTGCACAGTCGGCAAGCCGTCATCCTTCCATTCTTGCTTCCGTCTGCGCAGGGAGAAGAATAGGAGCTCAAGCCCCACCGAAGCAGAATAAGATCCTCCCAACGCAGAATAAGATCTGCGTTGGGAATACCGTCTCCAGTGTAGTGTAGCGATCCCTCCCTTATGTGCGGCGCAATAAGGGATACCACAATTTCCCCTGTCTTTTTGGTGTAGCGAGTACTAGCGACAGAATTCTTCGTGTTTTCTCAGTCTACAGTTGATGTGTTTTCATTGTTAATTGCAAGTCCCCACCGAAGCTCTATGGCTTCGTCAACGTGTAATCATTCAACCACACGCTTGACCATCAATCTGCCTCACCTCCTGATGCGAGAGAGAAGCTGCTCACAATTAACCGTGCGTTCTCTGCTGTAAATATCAAGTATGCTTTGGGATGAATCTGCCTCCTTCCCAGCCTATCAAGCCCACTTGTATGCTGATGTTCTCCCCCCCCCCCAGAAAGAATCACTCCGTCGTAAGCTACCAACTGCTCTCTGCTTGACGATGGGATGAGTGACCCTTTGTTGCAGAGATCCAAGACGTTGCCCACTTTGCTATCTCATGCTGTATCGCCGGTCTTGCATGTACATTGATTGCACCGAGGCACCAACATGGTGATGACGACGTATTGCTGGCCATACATACTGTGCATGGGGGGCAGATCACAAACAGTGAAGTTGAAGGAAAAGGCGAACGCGGAGTATCGCAAGGGGAGACATGTATGTATGGATACTATGGAACCACCAGTAGTACTTTTATTTTTTGACAGCCATTTCTCCAAGCTGGGACTTGTACAGGCCGATCGGCCTTTTTCAGGGGTAGGGGCCGCTTCTCCAGGACGTTGACGACTTTTCTGAACGGCCTGCAGACACAGCCGCATAAAAAGAATAACTCCCAGAGGTTGCGGAGCATTTATGGCTGTGTCTGAATGCTTGGTGCGGGAAAAGTACTCGTGAGTCTCATGGTTGAATAATACGGCGGGAAGGAAACACAGTGAACGGAAGTTGCTGCATCTCCATTTGTAATACCTATCAAGAGTTTTGGAAATGCAAGATATTGGTGCAGAAGTTGGAATTGAGGATGATGTGCTGTTAAGGGGCTGAAGGTTGTGGAAGATGTTATGGAATAGAATTGTGCTACTCTATGACTTTCATGAGCCTTATCCGCGAAGTTGTGCGGTATGGAAGAGAGAGACTCTGCCAGATGACAGAGAAACAGAATTGTGCTATTACAGCCTTTTATGAAAAAAATGCAATGAACCCGGTCTCGTTGAGAAGCCAGTTAGTAATGCAATAGAAGTCTGAACCTGGCGCACCTCGTGAAGTCTCCAAAACCAATTACAAGTCCATGCCTGTGCAATCCAAGAGTATTGTCTTATCAAAGACTAGCATGAGAGAAGAGAAACAGGAGAGGAGAGACAGAGAAGAGAAGGAGAGTCTCAATAATAATCATTAGTCTCTCTCTCTCTCTCTCTCTCTCTCTCTCTCTCTCTCTCTCTCTCTCTCTCTCTCTCTCTCTCTCTCTCCTGCCTCCACTTTGGGCTTCTCCCCTATCGCCACCTCAGCAATGCATGTTCCCTCTGACGTCCTCTGACATAATCATGGTGCAGATCATCACAGGGCGTTCATCCTCCCTCCACGTCAGCAATAAGATATGGAGGATGGTGCAGCACTTCTGCACCTTTGTGGAGACGAGCAGCAGTTCACACGTGTTGATGCCAGGTAAGCCCAGGTAAGCTTCCCCTCATCTCCCGTCAGTCTCACAGCCCCAGATCCTCCTCCTCGCCAATCCCCAGCACCTACAGTCTTCCCCTGAACAAAATGCACGCTCGTTAATTACGTATTCGAATATAACGCGTGTGCATTATGCTATGAATACAGGGTACCAACGTTCGGAAACCGGGACCCCAAACAAATTAGTACCCTGTATCCGTACTTGTCCGTCGGGATTAGCATGGCCACTGCGCAAGGATAACACACATAAATCAAGAAACAGTCCAAATGCAAAAAAAAAAAAAGGAAAAAAAAAAAAATCACAACAGCCCGTCAAGAAGCCGGGTGAGCAATTGGGAGGGAGCGAGCAGGCGGGAGCGATACGGTGTGTGTGTGTGTGTGTGTGTGTGTGTGTG